TTTATTTATTTATTTATTTATTTATTTATTTATTTATTTATTTATTTATTTGAGACGGAGTCTCCTCTGTCGAAGGCTGGAGTGCAGTGGTGTGACCTCAGCTCACTGCAACCTCCGCCTCCCAGGTTCAAGCGATTCTCCTGCCTCAGCCTCCTGATTAGCTGGGATTACAGGCATGTGCCACCACACCTGGCTATTTTGTATTTTTAGTAGAGACGGGGTTTCATCATATTAGCCAGGCTGGTCTTAAACTCCTGAGCTCAGGCAGTCCACCTGCCTCAGCCTCCCAAAGTGCTGGGATTACAGGCGTGAGCCACCATACTCGACCTCTTAATTTTTATTTTTAAAAAAGGGTTTTGAAGATAAAAAACTGGAACATGATTGCTCTAGCACACTCCACTAAAAATTAAATCCAGAATTTGTTTTTCCATGCCTGTCTTTCACAGCTAAACTTTGATTTATTGGGGAGCTGGGACTCTATTTCTGTTTTTCGAGCACTTGAACATGGCCAGCATGTGGTACCTGTTCAGAACATGTTTGTGAAGGGATGGAGTCATTTATGCAGCTCCATCTTCTCTGCCCTTGTAGTTCCTTTACTCCATCCTCCATCTTAGGGAGGTTTTTTCTCTTGCTAGGTATCCTGGATACAGCCATCGTTGATCGGGGGAGGAATGTGGTATCCGGTTCTCGAGATGGGACAGCACGACTTTGGGATTGTGGGCGCTCAGCCTGCTTGGGAGTCCTTGCAGATTGTGGTTCTTCCATCAATGGAGTGGCGGTGGGTGCTGCTGACAACTCCATAAACCTTGGCTCCCCTGAGCAGATGCCCAGTAAGTTGATAATGATATGTAGGATTGTTTTTTTTCTTGGGCCCCCTTCAGTGATTGCCTTAGTTTCTCTATTTCTTCCTCATCCTTTTCTGCTCTGTACCTGGTATTTCTGTTTTCACCATACAATTAATATTTATTCTGTACCTACTATGTTTCTATTGCTTTGGAATCTACAAAGGAAGTATATGTCATAGCACTACATTTCAGTAAGTACAGTCTAATTTAGCAGATGAGATTAATGCCTATAAAACATGGGTGTCCAATCTTTTGGCATCCCTGGGCCACATTTGAAGAAGACATATCTTGGGCCACACATAAAACACACTTAACATTGATGATAGCTGAGCTAAAAATAAATAAATAAATCTCATAATATTTTAAGGAAGTTTATGAATTTGTGTTGGGCCTCATTCAAAGCCTCCCTGGGCTGCAGGTTGGACAAGCTTGCTATAAAACATTTAGAGAACAGTAACATTTGGCTGAACTAATTAGTGATTCTTTTTATTTATAATATTCTTTTAGTGATAGAGTCCTGCTGTTTTGCCCAGGCTGGCCTTGAATTCCTGGGCTTAAGTGATCCTCCCACCACAGCCTCCCTAATAGCTGGGACTATAGGCATGTACCACCATGCCTGGCAAATTAGCGAGTCCTAATGCAAATATAATAGGTTTTCAGAGGGATGGAGTGTTCCCGGTTAGTATAGATAGGAAAGATGTCACGAAAGAAGTTGGCTTAAGCCTTTAAAGGGTAAGTTCAAGTTGAACAGACAGGAATGGTAAGGATAGGACAGTGGGAGCTAGGGCAAGGGGTAGGTGTAGGGGCAGTTTGCATTACAGCTTGGACATGAAACTGAGTGTTATATAAAAAGATACGCTTGCCTGGGCTAGAAAGTTGAATTAAGAGGGGTAGTAGTAGGAAATGGGTTGAATAGCTGTGGTGAGAGACTAATAAAGGTCCTAATAAGGCAACTTTCATTCTTATTTTCCCATAATAATAGTTGCATCTTTGTTCCATAGGACAATTTTTTTTTTTTTTTTGAAACGGAGTCTTGCTCTGTCGCCCAGGCTGGAGTGCTGTGGCACAGTTCCGGCTCACAGCAAGCTCTGGTTCCTGGGTTCGCACCATTCTCCTGCCTTAGCCTTCCAAGAAGCTGGGACTACAGGTGTGCACCACCACACCTGGCTAATTTTTTTTATTTTTTAGTAGAGACATAGTTTCACCATGTTAGCCAGCATGGGACAATTTTTTTTTTTCTACCATTGTCTTAGCCCTTCACATTTTAAAAAATAGACCTTATTTTTTAGGGCCATTTTAGGTTCACAGCAAAATTTAGCAGAAAGTACAGGGGGCTGGGCGTGGTGGCTCACGCCTGTAATCCCAGCACATTGGGAGGCCAAGGAGGGCGAATCACAAGGTCAGGATTTTGAGACCAGTCTGGCCAACATAGTGAAACCCTGTCTCTACTAAAAATACAAAAATTTAGCCGGGTGTGGTGGTGTGTGTCTGTAATCCCAGCTACTCGGGAGGCTAAGGCAGGAGAATCGTGTGAACCTGGGAAGTTGAAGTTGCAGTGAGCTGAGATTGCGCCATTGCACTCCAGCCTAGGTGACAGTGTGAGCCTCTGTCTCAAAAAAGAAAAGTACAGGGAGTTCTTATATACCTTTTGCCTTACCCACCCACACATAGCCTTCCTCACTATCAACATCCCCCACCAGAGTGGTACATTTGTTGCAGCTGATGAACCTACATGACGCATTATCATCATCCAAAGTTCAGAGTTTAAGACTTATTCTTGGCGTTATACATCCTATAGGGTCTGACAAATGTACAGTGACATGTATTCACCATTGTAGTATCATACATAGTAGTTTCTTAGCCCTCATAATCCTCTGTACTCTGTTCAAGCAGTTCTCCTGCCTCTCAGCCTCTCGAGTAGCTAGGACTCTAGGCATGCACCGCTACACCTATCTAATTTTTTTAATTTTTTGTTTTTGTAGCAACAAGGTCTCACTATGTTGCCCAGGCTGGTCTTGAACTCCTGGCCTCAAGTGATCCTCCCATCTTATCCTCCCAAAGTGCTGGGATTACAAGTACGAGCCACTGCTGCTGGCCCTAAAGTAATTTAAATGAAAATATTGATTCTCGTTTTCTGTACTTTTTCATTTCCCATTTATTCTTCAGCCCATTCTAGGATGGTTTATGCCCAAGTACTTGACTGAAATGGCTGTTGTTAAAGTCACCAGTGACCTTCCTTTTTTTTTTTTTTTTTTGAGATGGGGTCTTAGTCTTGCCCAGGCTGGAGTGCAGTGGTACGATCTCTTGGCTTACTGCAACCTCCACCTCCCAGGTTCAAGTGTTCACGTGATTCTCGTGCCTCAGCCTCCCGAGTAGCTGGGATTATGGGTGCCCACCATTATGCCTGGCTAATTTGTGTATTTTTAGTAGAGACGAGGTTTCACCATGTTGGCCAGGCTGGTCTTGAACTTCTGGCCTCAAGTGATCCGCCCTCCTCAGCCTCCCAAACTGCTGGGCTTACAGGTGTGAGCTATGGGGCCCAGCCACCAGTGACCTTTCTCTTGCCGAATCCATCTTATTTCTCTGTGCTTGTCTTTCTGAATTTAGTGGTATTTCACATAGTAAACCCTCTCCTTAGAGAACATTTTTTTCATGGCTTCTGTGATACCACACAACACTGGCTTTCTTCCTGTTTCATTGACTGCTAGTTTTTAAAGTTCTCCTTTTATGAAACTCCTCTCTTCTACGTTTAAATACTAGAGGGCCCCACTATTAAGTTCTGGGCCCTCAACTGTAACTACAGTTTCTTCCTTTGTGATCTCATCTGTTCCATAGCTATCATTATTTAAACTGATAACGATTTCCAAAGTTCATGTAAAGCATAGACCTCTCACCTGAGTTTCAGACTCTATTTTGATGTCTAATAAATAAGTTGAACTTACCTTGTCTGACAAGGAGCGTTTGATCCCTCCCCACCCCAAACTGTTTTTTTTCCATCTCAGAAAATGGCACCACTATCTACCCATTTGCTCAAGCCTGAAGCCTGAGATTCACTCACAGTCCACCCCCTCTTTCCTCATGTCCTGCATCAGCAACGTCTACCATCTCTAACTTCAAAGTGTTTCTAATTTTTCTATTTCTCCCTCTCCCTCCCCTTCTCTCCCTTCCTCCTGCCAACATCCTGGTCCAAACTATCATCACCTATTTCCTGTACTACTGCCTAGACTATTCTCCTATAAGCCATTCTTTTCAGAGCAATCATTGTGGTCATTTAAGAAAATCGTGCCGGGTGTGGTGGCTCACGCCTGTAATCCCAGCACTTTAGGAGGCCGAGGTGGGCAGATCACAAGGTCAGGAGATCGAGACCAACCTGGCTAACACAGTGAAACCCTGTCTCTACTAAAAATACAAAAAATTAGCTGGGGGTGGTGGTGGGCGCCTGTAGTCCCAGCTACTCGGGAGGCTGAGGCAGGAGAATGGCATGAACCTGGGAGGCGGAGGTTGCAGTGAGCCGAGATCGCGCCATTGCACTCTAGCCTGGGTGACAGAGCGAGACTCCATCTCCAAAAAAAAAAGAAAAAGAAAATCATAAGTCATGTCATGCTCCTGCTTAGAACTCTCCAGTGGCCTCCCTTTGTACATGTTGAAATCCTAACCCCTTACATGGCTTACAACAAGCTCTTATACTTTCTGACCCCTGCACTTCTCTCTAGTCTCATGTCATACCATCCTCAGCCAGGCCCACTACATTTCAACTACAGGCCTTTAGTTTCTTCTTTCAGTACAGTGGACTCTCCCAGTCTCCGGACTTTGCCTTCTTTTTTTTTTTTTTTTAAATTGAGACAGTATCCCTCTGTCACCCAGACTAGAATGCAGTGGCACATTCTTGGCTCATTGCAACCTCCACCTCCTGGGTTCAAGCAATTTTCCTGCCTCAGCCTCCCGAGTAGCTGGGATTACGGGCATGCACCACCACACCCAGCTATTTTTTGTATTTTCGGTAGAGATGGGGTTTTGCCATGCTGGCCAGGCTGGTCTTGAACTCCTCACCTCAAGTGATCTACCCGCCTCGGGCTCCCAAAGTGCTGGGATTACAGGCGTGACCCACCGCACCTGGCCTGACTCTGCCTTCTTTTTCCCTTAGTCTGGAATATACTCCTGCAGCTCTTCACATAACTGGTTTCTGTTTACCTTTCAGATCTCACCATTCAGTTGAAAAGTTACTTCCACAGAGGCTTTTTAAAGTTAAAGTTTAGGCTGGACGTGGTGGCTCACACCTGTAAACCCAGCACTTTGGGAGGCTGAGGTGGGCGAATTGCTTGAGCCCAGGAGTTTGAGACTAGCCTGGGCAACATAGTGAGACCCCATCTCTATAAAAAAAAGTTTTAAAAATAAATGAAGTTTACATTTAAAAGTTACCCTCCCCACTTAGCCTCCCACCACCTATTCACTTCTGATCTTATTTTCCTATTTTATTTTCTTTTAGAACTTATCACTTTCTGAAAGTATCCTACTTGTTTATTTACCTATTCACTAGAATCCTTGAGAGTAAGGACCTTATCTGTTTGTTCATCACTGTTTCCTTAGCATTTAGAATACTGTGTGATGTCATCACATAGAAGATGAAGGTAAAAAAGAAAAAGAAAAAAAGAATAGTGCCTGATACATAGTAGGCCCTAAAGAAATATTTGGTGAGTGAATGAATACATTTCATTTTCTCCAGGCTGTAAGATCTTTGAGGTCAGAGACTGTATTTTCCAGCATTGTATCCCTGCTCCTAGTGTGGTGTCTTCTCACGGTACAAACAACTTAGTATTTTAAAAGTTGGGTTTATTGCCAGCCATGGTGTGCACACCTGTAGTCCCAGCTACTCAGGAGGCTGAGGCGGGAGGATTGCTCACACCCAGGGATTCAAGGCTGTGGGGTGCTATGTTTGTGCTTGTGAATGGCCCATGCACTCCAGCCTGGACAACATACTAGACCCTGTCTCAAAAAAGAGTACACACACACGCATTTTAAAAATACATTTGGATTTACTGAGGTATCTTTTACATATGGTAAAAGTCACCCTTTTCCTTGGCTACTGGATACCATTAAAAAACATTTTTAAAATGTAAAAATAAAGTCAGTCTTTTTAATTGTATAGTTCTGTGAGTTTTGTCAAATATATCCAGTTTATAAATAATACCACAGTGAGATACAGAACATAATAAATGTTTGCTTTGTAGTAAGTGAATCGCTAACAAAATCAGTAATCAACATCAGTATTGGTGCTGTGTGGGCACTGTCAGCTGATTAGCCTCACTGTTATTAACATAGTTCATTTGTCATGCAGGTGAACGGGAGGTTGGAACAGAGGCAAAAATGCTGCTGTTGGCCCGGGAAGATAAGAAACTTCAGTGCTTGGGACTACAGAGCAGACAGCCGGCAAGTGGTTCCTATATGGCCTTTGAACTCTGAGGCAACCTGGGTCGTTCTGTTTCTTAGAAGGCTATTTTGGAAACATTTCTACTTGCTCCCTGTGTTCACTTTTGAGAAGGCTGCCTGAGTAAGAGGAAGTACAGCATAATGATTAAGAGTGTGGGATTTGGAATAAGGGCAACATTTAAATCCCTGTTTGTTTGTTTGTTTGTTTGTTTATTTGTTTGTTTTTTGAGACAGAGTCTCACTCTGTCGCCCAGGCTGGAGTGCAGTGGCGCAATCTCGGTTCAGCTTACTGCAACCTCCGCCTCCTAGGTTCAAGTGATTCTCCTGCGTCAGCCTCCCGAGTAGCTGGGATTACAGGCCTACCCCCATGCCTGGCTAATTTTTATATTTTCAGTAGAGATGGGGTTTCATCATGTTGGCCAGACTAGTCTCAAACTCCTGACCCATGTGATCTACCTTCCTTGACCTCACACCTGGGAGTACAGGTGTGAGCCACTGCACCCGGCCCTAAATCCCAGTTCTTGTGCAACACTTGCAGAGAATAAAAAAATAAAATAAATCTCAGTTCTTATGTTAATACTTAATGATTCCAGCATTGGACAAGTTACTTAACCTCTCTGAGCCTGCTTCCTTATCACTAAACTGGGCATAATAGGGTTTATGATGAGGATTAAATGCTCTACTGTTTTGTGATCTTTGTTAAGTCACCTTCCTTCTCTGGGCCTTAGTGTGCTATATGTAAAATGATGAAGTTGTATAGATTTTCTTTCTTTATGAGTCCTGCTACCTCTTAGGTAATGTGAAGAAATTCTGAGTAAAGAACTCATGCGTCTGGGAACAATGGCTCATGCCTGTAATCCCAGCTTTCTGGGAGGCCCAGAAAGGGTAGATTGCTTGAGTCCAAGAGTTCAAGACTGGCCTGGGCAAAAAACCCATCTCTATTAATAATACAAAAAATTGGCTGGGCATGGCGACATGCACCTGTAATTCCAGCTACAGCTACTTGGGAGGCTGAGGTGGGAAGATCACCTTAGCCTGGAAGGTCGAGGCTTCAGTGAGCCAAGATTGTGCCACTGTACTCCAGTCTGGGGAACCAGAGTGAGACCTTGTCTCAAAAAAAAAAAAAAAGGACTCATGTATTCAGGACTCTTGATCAATTAATGAACGAACAGACCATTAGTTGGAGTTTCTTCCTACATCTGAGTTTTTGCTGGGAAGATTATGCTGTTAACTAAATTCTCTCTTCCCAGAGATTAGATTTTTAAAATTTCCTTCTAGCTCCTGTAATTGTCATCCAGACAACTTTAATGATTTGGTTTGGCCACAGGGTTTGCTGTTTTCATTTCATCTTGTTACTTCATTGTGCTGATGATATTTCCATTTTCAAAGTTTGTTTCAGGAACATTACCATTTTTGCTAATATCGCCTTTGTACTTGAGTTTTCACACTGGCTTTTACTTCCAGAGGGAAATCAGGTTTTTTTGTTTGTTTATTTTGTTTTTTGCCTTTTCTTTTTAGAATGTTTGGGGAAGACATAATCAGTTTGAGCTAACAGTAAGAAGTAAATGAAAATCTAATAATTTCTCAGATTCATGGGGAGAACTGTGATTCTTTACATCGCTACTTTATTTAAGCCTGTTTATTTTCCTACAAAATACCCTCCTTCAAAAGGTTGAAGTGACATGGAACAAAACTTACATGTGGGAATTGCAAGTGTTTCTCAAATAGAAGGTTGTCATGAAAAAGGGGAAAAGAAGGAATTTTGTTGGTGAGGATACTGTGAGATAGTGTGTTGAGTGGTAATAGTTGGAAAACTGCCACCTCAGAGTATATTACATAAACTGCTCAAGTCCTTAACCAACCTCAGGTTCCTGAAATCCTGGGAGTATTTCCTTCTCAGTTTTTGGTGAATGTGTAATTTACCATTTGAGAATAATTAAAGGGGGAAGGAAGAAAATATCTCAAAATATAGTGAAATTTTTCCTTTTTTGGTGCCTGTTTATTCTTGGAAACAAATTAATCTCTAAACTGCATTTTTGCCTCCTACTTGTTCCCAGGTGTTCCTCTTTATTGGCTCAGATGCTTTCAACTGCTGTACTTTTCTCTCTGGCTTCTTGCTATTGGCTGGAACTCAAGATGGAAACATTTATCAGCTGGATGTGAGGAGTCCAGGGTGAGTCACTGTTCATTTACATGATGCAGGTCTTCTACAGAGTGGAAATTTTTATTGGCTTTAACGTTGATTTAGCCTAGCATATAGATGACTGTTGAATCAAGGGTATATTTTTCCGTTTACAAAGGTTTTCTGGTCTGAATTTTCTGATTGTTCTTATTATTCCTGGACTCATATTAAAATATATGATTCATCCTATTATGATTGTCTGACTAATGATTGCTGTGAAAATTAAGCTTAAATATAAACTAACATTTCATTTAAATTGATTGTCTAGAACTTTTAACCTTAAAGAGCTCAGTAATTTTCTCTTACATTAGACCCTGACTACCCTAAGATTGAAAGATTGAATTATTTTTATTTATTTATTTATTTTTTGAGATGGATTCTCACTCTGTCCTCCAAGCTGGAGTACAGTGGTGCTATCTCGGCTTACTGCAACCTCTGCCTCCCGGGTTCAAGCAATTCTCCTGCCTTAGCCTCCTGAGTAGCTGGGATTACAGGCGTGCGCCACCACACCCAGCTAATTTTTGTATATTTAATAGAGACAGGGTTTCACCATGTTGGTCAGGCTGGTCTCAAACTCCTGACCTCATTATCTGCCCGCCTCAGCCTCCCAAAGTGCTAGGATTACAGGCATGAGCCACTGTACCCAGCCCTGAAAGATTATTTTTAGTTTAAGGAACCCAGCTCTGTTAGTTATGTAGTTTTGATCATGACCTTTCTAAACAGGCTTTTCCTTGGTCTTAAAGATACCTAAAGAGAATCACACAATCTCTCTGTTGCAGGATTTAATAATTTCTACGATTCTGTCCCTTCTTCCTTTGATTTCCTTCCTTTTTTCAACTGATATTTATTGAAAATAATTTCTGTGGGCATCAGGCTTGGTTCAAGGCACTGAAAAACAGAAATAAAAGGTACAGACTCTGGGCTGGGTGTGGTGGCTCACTCCTGTAACCCCAGCACTTCGAAAGGTCAAGGTGAGTGGATCACCTGAGGTCAGGAGTTCGAGACCAGCCTGGCCAACATGGCGAAACCCCGTTTCTACTGAAAATACAAAAATTAGTTGGGCATGGTGGCGCGTACCTATTAACCCAGCTGCTAGTGTAGCTTAGGCAGGAGGATCGCTTGAACCTGGGAAGTGGAGGTTTCAGTGAGCTGAGATCATGCCACTGAACTCCAGCCTGGGCAACAGAGCGAGATTCTATCTCAAAAACAAAAAACAAAAAACAGACTCTGCCTTTGAGACACCTGGAGTCTAATGGTAAAGATGGACAAGTAAAAGACTGTTGTGCAGTGTGATCGCTTGTCTGACAGGGCTAGCCACAGAAATTTAAGGAAGCACCAGAAAGGAGAGGGAAGGAGGTAAGACTGCTTCTCCAAGGCAACGAGAAACATTGGATCTTGTTGAGTAGGAAGTTGCCAAGTAAAGAAGGAGGAAAAGAGCTGGGCTCGGTAGAATCCCATATATACAATCCTATATATGAAGGCATGTGAAAGGGATTGTTTTCAGGAGTCTATGACAGGTATGTTCCCTGCATATGAGGGCAGTGGTGAGAAGTGATGCCAGCAGGAAAACAGGAGATGCTTTGACCTTATCTGCCATTCTAAGTTTATTCCAAGAGCAGGGAAGAAATTACAGTAGATGGTGACTAGCTTATACCTTTTCTTCCATCATTTCAGTTACTTAATATTTTTTTTCTTTTCTTTTTTTTTTTTGCCTCCACAGAGATAGGGAATCTCTGATCACTATTATAAAATAGGCCGGGCGCGGTGGCTCAAGCCTGTAATCCCAGCACTTTGGGAGGCCGAGACGGGCGGATCACGAGGTCAGGAGATCGAGACCATCCTGGCTAACACAGTGAAACCCCGTCTCTACTAAAAATACAAGAAAATTAGCCGGGCGTGGTGGCAGGCGCCTGTAGTCCCAGCTACTCGGGAGGCTGAGGCAGGAGAATGGCGTAAACCCGGGAGGCGGAGCTTGCAGTGAGCCGAGATCGCGCCACTGCACTCCAGCCTGGGGCACAGAGCAAGACTCCGTCTCAAAAAAAAAAAAAAAAAAAAAAAAAATCACCCTTACATATATATTAAATTGATTCTCACTCAGCTTTCTCTTTCTTTTTAGAGTCCTGACAATTTTAATATTTTACAACAAATCTTAATTCTTTCGTTAAGTGAAAAGGTTAACATACTGCTAATATTGTTATCTTCAACCCATGTCATACCTGCCTTAAAAACTCAGGATTTGGGTGGTGACTTAGTTCATGTTTAGAGACATGGATGGTTTTAAATGAATTACCTTAATCTGCCAGTTAAGGTTCTTGCCAGGAAAGAAACCATAGAAATGTTTAATCTTTCTCCACATTTTATCCTGTTTGCTCTTATGTGATTAGTACTATATATTGAATATGGTCAAGTATTGCTTTTGAAGAAAGAAAGTAAAATTTCCCCTTTCTTTGAATCCTAGGGCTCCGGTACAAGTCATCCACAGATCAGGAGCACCAGTTCTATCCCTGCTAAGTTTCAGAGATGGATTCATTGCTAGCCAAGGTGGGTCCATGGGCCAACTGAGAGAGATGCTTCTTTGTAGTTCAGTTAATTAAACATAGTTTTAAGTGTATAATCGCTGGCGGGGTTGGGGCATGGTCCCCCGTGATTCTTTGGCATATTGTACCTATCAATGGTTTTTATCACTCTGCGTTGTGATTGTCTGCGTCGCCCTCCAGTTCAAGCTCCTTGAGGGTGGTGACTGTGCCTTATTCATTGTGTTATTCCCAGAATTTAGCTCAATGCCCACCACTCTTGTGCCCTAAGGGAACTCACAATAAGGCAGACAGACATGTGAACATATGATTGCAGTCCAGTTTGATAAGGACTACATCAGAAGACTGCATGAGGAAATGGAGAATAGCTAATTCTAGAGGCAGGAGTGCTGTCAGCAAGGTCTTTGTGAACTAGGTGACATGTAAACCGATAAAGATTTCACCCACTGGAGATGTAAAGATGGACACTGAAAGCTGAAGCTTTTGTGTATGCAAAGTCATAGATGAGGCAAGGGGAGCAAAAGAAGAAGGGCACTAGCATTTCCGGAGAGCCTGCTATGTAGTAGGTACTGTGTTTGATGCTTTACATATATATTCTAGGTAAAGCGAATACCTTGGTGTAGCCAGGACAAACTCTTTGGAATGGAGTTCAGGAATGATGTTGGGGAAATGCCTGGAACAAAGTGTACATTAAGGGACACTGGATCCTTGTAGGAATGATGCAGGTGAGGAGGACTGGACTATACAGCCTGGAGGGACTACCTACCTACCTTGAGCATTTCAGTATATCAGTCAGGATGTTTTGGGCTGTTATTTACAGAACACTCCGCTGAACATGGTTTAAACAGTTAGGAAAGTGTACTGCTTCACTTAACAAGAAGTCCAGAGTCCATTTCAGATTATATTAATTTAGTGATTTGAAAATAAAAGTCAACCAAGGAGACTAAAGAAACTTGACAGCTAAGTCAGTGGTATTCTAGACTGGATCCAGGATGTTAAGGAAAGACTGGTGAAAAAAAAAAAGTATGTGTTTAGGTAATAGCAGTGTACCAATATTGACCTCTTAGTTTTGACAAATGTAAGGTGATAACATTTGGGAAAACCTGAAACTGATTAAGGGCATATGGGAACTTTCTGTATTATCTTTAACTAACTTTTCTGTAAACCTAAAGTCACTCCAAAATACAATATTTTTATAAAACTTTTTTTTTTTTTTTTAATTTAAAAAACAAATGGGCTGGGCACAGTGGCTCATGCCTATAATCCCAGCATTTTGGGAGACTGAGGTGGAAGGATCACTTGAGCCCAGGAGTTTGAGACCAGCCCAGGCAACATAGAAGACCCTGTCTCTACAAAAAATAAAAATTAGCCAGGCATGGTGGTTCATTTCTGTGGTCCCAGCTACTCAGGAAGCTGAGATAGGAGGATCGCTTGAGTCTAGGAGGTGGAGGCTGCAGTGAGCCTTGATTGTGCCACTGCATTTCACCCTGGGTGACAAAGCGAGACTCTGTCTCAAAAATAATTTTTTTAATTAAAAAAATATTAAAAAGATAGTGACTGGGCATGGTGGCTCCTGCCTGTAATCCCAGCACTTTGGGAAGCTGAATCGGGTGGATCCCTTGAGGTCAGGAATTTGAGACCACCCTGGCCAGCATGATGAAACCCTGTCTCCACTAAAAACACAAAATTACTGGGCATGGTGGCACACGTCCATAGTCCCAGCTACTCAGGAGGCTGAGGCATTAGAATTGCTTGAACCTGGGAGGCAGAGGATGCAGTGAGCTGAGATCACGCCACTGCACTCTAGCCTGGGTGACAGAACGAGACTCTGTCTTAAAAAAAAAAAAAAAAAATTAAAATTAAAAAATAAGGTTAGGTGCGGTGACTCACACCTGTAATCCCAGCACTTTGGGAGGCCAAGGTGGATAGATCACCTGAGGCCTCGCTATTTCTCACCTCTTCTCTCTTACCTGCAGGCCATTTTACTGATTATTATCCCAGCACTTTGGGAGATCGAGGAGGGTAGATCACCTGAGGTCAGGAGTTTAAGACCAGCCTGGCCAACATGGCGAAATGCCATCTCTACTAAAAATACAAATATTAGCCGGGCATGGTGGTGTGCACCTGTAATCCCAGCTACTTGGGAGGCTGAGGTGGGAGAATCACTTGAACCTGGGAGGTAGAGGTTGTAGTGAGCCAAGATTGTACCACTGCACTCCATCCTCAACGACAGAGTGAAACTCCCTCTCAAAAAAAAAAAAAAAAAAAAATCTGTTTCAAGGTGATGTGTGGGTTATATGAGGAGTAGGAGGTGGAGAAGAGCTGACTCGTGCTCTACTTTTGGTACTTTTTTTTTTTTTTGGAATGTTAGAAATTTCTTTTTTTTTTTTTTTTTTTTTGAGACAGGGTCTTGCTCTGTTGCCCAGGCTGGAGTGCAGTGGCACCATCTCAGCTCACTGCAAGCTCCATTCCCGAGTTCATGCCATTCTCCTGCCTCAGCCTCCTGAGTAGCTGGGACTACAGGTGCCCACCAACACGCCTGGCTAATTTTTTGTATTTTTAGTAGAGATAGGGTTTCACCGTGTTAGCCTGGATGGTCTCGATCTCCTGACCTCATGATCCACCCGCCCTGGCCTCCCAAAGTGCTGGGATTACAGGTGTGAGCCACCGTGCCTGGCCTGAAATTTCTTTATTATTACTTATGCTTACTAAGCACCAGCTTAATACTGCAGAAGATTTCAAATCACTGTTGATAACCCACTTTCTTTTCTCCCACCCGAATTCTTGATCAAGAGTTTTTCAAGTAAAGACATGCTCTTCTCTCTTGTGTATAAAACGTTGTGAAATAAAGGCAAAGTATTGTGTATATCTTGCTGGAAAATGCTGCTTAGGGCTCTGGAGATGGTGGCCGCCCCTGCTCCTTTCACTGTCCAGGCCTTGAAAGACTCTAGTTCATGAACTGTCTCTTCACAAAGCAAGTCCACCACTTGCTGCGTTTATCATTCTGAGGGTTGAAAACTTTCTTACAAAGTCTCAGTCCAGTCTCTTGCCTTAGCTGTTGTAAATAGGCCCTTATCACTTCATCTTCCTGTTTGTTTGCAGGTTTGGGATAAATTGCATTAAGTGGAAAGCCGGGCTCTCCAGGAACAGGGAAGTTAATGATTCCCAGTGTATACATTTCTTTCTCACCCTGGCTTTTGGAATTGCACTTTTGGAGTTCCTTTAGACACTCAGAAACGTAGAGAGAGATATATATCAAGGTCCTATCAGCTTCATTATTAACTTCATAGTTTTTGAAGAAGACATTGGCCTTGAAGTAATAGATGGCTTCATCCACAGTATCAATATCTTTTGTCTCTCTTGGGGCAGGTCCTTTGAATTGACTTCTGATAGGTAACAGTGCCATGTTTCCAATGAGTTCGGTGTCAGAAACCATGAGAGAAGAGTGGTAAGCTGGCATCTTGGTGGCTCCTGGGTTTCAACCCAGAGGAGCAGATTTTTTGTACTTTTCTACTGGGAAGAAGGCAAGGCATAACTTCCAGTACTGATATCTAAAGGCAAAGGGAGTAAGATTGTAGCTCTGTTTTCAGAGGACAAAACTAAGACCAGTAAGAGAAAGTTATCAGAAACCACATTCCAGTTAATTATAAAGGAAAAGCTTTCTTTTCCTTAAGAAAGAAGCTGCCCTTAAGGTAGTGAGCACCTCTAACTCTGGCGATGGGCAAGTGTAGGCTGTTTGGCCGCTCTGCCATGTGCTGTAGAGGGAGTTCTGTACTGGTTTAGAAGTTGGATATAGATGATCTTTGCAGTCCTTTGGAACTCTGATTATTAGTGAGGAGATTTAAATTGCCAGATGAAACAAAATAAAAAACGTTTTTGATGGAAATTGCCAAACATATCTAAAAGTAGAGAAAATAGCACAGTGAACCTGCTATACCCATTGTCCAACGTAAGCTATTATCAATATATGGCTAATCTTGTTTTACCTATTCCCTTGCATTCCTCATTTCATATATTTTGAAATATATCATGAGCATCTTATTTCACCTGTCAGCATTTCTATATGTCTCTCTCAAAGATAAGGATTCATTTTTGGAGAAGATGATTTTTAATAATAATGCAAGAAAGGGTAAGGTACTACCTTGTATATGCTGCTGCTTGGAATGTAGATTAACAGATAAATTTGGAAAACAGTTTTTCAGATTTCCAAAAAGTTTGAAAAGGTTAATTAATATCTGCTGATTCTTTTCCAGGTCTTTATATATACAAAGTCAGAAAAAACTGTATGCATAAAGACATTCATTTATGCACATGCTGTCAACCATGAAAAATAGGCACACAAAAAAAGATAAAAATGTTAACAGTAATTGCCTTTGAATGGTAGATTGGGGTGATTTTTCTACCTCTGCTTTGTTTATTTTTAAAGTTTTGTTCAATGAGCATGTACTACTTCTATTTATTTATGTATTTATGTATTTATTTTGAGACAGAGTCTCATTCTTTTGCTTAGGTTGGAGTGCAGTGGCACCATCTTGGCTCACTGCAACCTCTGCTTCCTGGGTTCAAGCAATTCTCCTGCCTCAGCCTCCTGAGTATCTGGGATTACAGGCGTGGACCACCGCGCTCAGCTAATTTTTTTTGTATTTTTACTACTTTTATATTAACAAAAAGAAATCACCTCATTAAGCAGTTTATAGATCACCCCAAGTTTCATTTGTCTGTGCTCTTTTAAGAATTAGGCCGGGCGCGGTGGCTCAAGCCTGTAATCCCAGCACTTTGGGAGGCCGAGGCGGGTGGATCACGAGGTCAGGAGATCGAGACCATCCTGGCTAACATGGTGAAACCCCGTCTCTACTAAAAATACAAAAAACTAGCCGGGCGTGGTGGCGGGCGCCTGTAGTCCCAGCTACTTGGAGGCTGAGGCAGGAGAATGGCGTGAACCCGGGCGGCGGAGCTTGCAGTGAGCCGAGATCGCGCCACTGCACTCCAGCCTGGGTGACACAGCGAGACTCCGTCTCAAAAAAAAAAAAAAAAAAAAAAAAAAAAAGAATTAGGTATACTTTTACTTTCTTAGTGTTAACTGTCCTCTTTCTCCTAGCGTATGCAGTCAAATTTACAGATTGAGGAATAATCTGGGAACATTTTAATAGGAAATATCTACACAAATATTTCTTTAAAAAATATTAAGGACTTTTTTTAGACATTCCCTATTAAAAATAATCTAGGATAAGTTTATAAATACACACACACACTCACACACACACACCTGTGGTTGCTTGCTCTGTGCCTTTGGCTGGCATTGCTAATCAAAGACATCCCTTCTTCCCACAGAACTCGCACTTGCTCTTCAAATCCACCCCAGCTCAGCATTCTAGGCAGCCACTATGGGTTATCATAATTGGCCCACATAGACCGGGCATGGTGGCTCACACTTGTAATCCCAGCACCTTGGGAAGCTGAGGTGGATGAATGGATCACCTGAGGTCGGGAGTTTGAGACAAGCCTGGCCAACATGGTGAAACCCCATCTCTACTAAAAATACAAAAATTACCCAGGTGTAGTGGCGGTCACATGTAATCCCAGCTGCTTGGGAGGCTGAGGCAGGAGAATTGCTTGAACCCAGGAGGTGGAGGTTGCAGTGAGCTGAGATCGCGGCATAGTACTCCAGCCTGGACAACAAGAACGAAACTCTGTCTGAAAAAAAAAGATGGCCCACATAATAAGATCTATTTGCCATTCTGGGTCTTTGGACCATCTTCTTTACACTAGTGATCTACAGAAGCAAATAAAAATACTGAGTGTTTAAACTCTGGATAGAGTTTTTTCTTAGTTATATCAATTTTCTTTCTGCCTTTCAGGTGATGGAAGCTGTTTCATTGTCCAGCAAGACTTAGACTATGTCACTGAGCTCACTGGGGCTGACTGTGACCCTGTGTACAAGGTACAGGCCTGAGACAACACTAGACCTGGGTGATTCTCATGCGAGATCTAGGGCTTTTATGAGACTGAATCCAGATACCTTGTGGTCATTAGGGATGACAAAATAGTGCTTATTGTATAGGCAGTGTGGTAGGATGGGAAGAAATTAAGAGCTTAAGTCAGAGGTGACGTCTGGGCCAGGCATGGTGGCTCATGCCTGTAATTCCAGCACTTTGGGAGGCCGAGACAGGTGGATCACTTGAGGTCAGGAGTTCAAGACCAGCCTGGCCAGCATGGTGAAACCTGTCTCTACTAAAAATACAAAAAAATTAGCTGGGCGTGGTGGTATACGCCTGTAGTTCTAGCTACTTGGGAGGCTGAGGCAGGAGAATCACTTGAACCTGGGAGGTGGAGGCTGCAGTGAGGCCCGAGATCGCACCACTACACTCCAGCCTGGGCAACAGAGTGAGACTTTATCTCTAAAAAAAAAAAAATAGTGACTTCTGGCTGACAGCTGTACCCCCAGCACTTCTGGAGGCTGAAGCAGGTGGATCACTTGAGCCCAGGAGTTCGAAACCAGCCTGGGCAATAAGATGAGACCCCCCCATCTCTACAAAAAATACAGAAAAATTAGCTGGGCATGGTGGCGCACATGCCTGTAGTCCCAGCTACTCATTTGGGAGGCCAAGATGGGACGATTGCTTGGGCCTGGGAAGTTGAGGCTGCCATGAGCTGTGATCGTGTCACTGCACTCCAGCCTGGGCGAAGAGTAAGACCCTGTCTCAGAAAAAAAAAAAAAAGTTCATCACTTACTGGCTCTAGAAACTTAAAAACTTACTTTACCTCACTAGTCTGTCAATTCATCTGTAAAATGAAGATAGTAATATGAAAACTCCTTGTAAATACATTCTATAAATATTATTATTATTATTATTAAGACTTCTGGACTGATTTTCTCATTTGATTAGAATAGAAAGAGAAAAGCAAAAGGGGAAATATTTATTGACCAGACACTGTGCTGAACGTTTTATATACATTATCTCATGTAACCTTTGTTACCATTTGTTGAGGTGTAGGTATTATTATTCCTATTTTTTCCTATAATTTAAAAAAAGTTGTACAATTAATATCTGTAAAAGTTCAAACAATACAGAATGATACAGATTTAAAAGTCTCCTTTACGACCTTTTTGGTTCCCTTCCTCTTTTCCAGAAGTAACTAGCGTTAACAGTTTGGCACATATTTTTCAAGACTATTTTCAGAGAATTTGTACACTTACATCTTTATGTATTAATGTGAATAATATACTTTTATCTTCAGTTTGTACATAATTGAGACTATTCTCTATATAGTGCCCTGTGACTTTTATTTAAATTACCGTCTTAGAGCTGTTTCCAGGTAAATGCATATAGATCTATTTCTTTTTTCTTTTTTTTTTTTTTGAGATGGAGTTTCGCTCTTGTTGCCCAGCCTAGAGTGCAACGGCACAATCTCAGCCCACTGCAGCCTCTGCCTCCCAGGTTCAAGCGATTCTCCTGCTTCAGCCTCCCAAGTAGCTGGGATTACAGGCATGCGCCACCACGCCTGGCTAATTTTGTATTTTTAGTAGAGACAGGGTTTCTCCATGTTGGTCAGGCTGGTCTCGAACTCCCGACTGAGGCCTGCTTTGGCCTCCCAAAGTGCTGGGATTACAGGCGTGAGCCACTGTGCCTGGCCATCCATTTCATTTTTTAAAATTCTTGTGTAGTGTTCCAGCCGGGTGCAGTGACTTACACCTGTAATCCCAGCACTTTGGGAGGCCGAGGTGGGTGGATCATGAGGTCAGGAGATTGAGACCATCTTGGCTAACACGGTGAAACCCCATCTCTACTAAAAATACAAAAAATTAGCCAGGCGTGGTGGCAGGTGCCTGTAGTCCCACCTACTCTGGAGGCTGAGGCAGGAAAATGGCGTGAACCCGGGAGGCGGAACTTGCAATGAGCCAAGATGGTGCCACTGCACTCCAGCCTGGGCGACAGAGCCGAGATTCTGTCTCAAAAAACAAAAAACAAACAAAATTCTCTTATAGTGTTCCATATTTTGAATCAACATATTTCCATTGTACAAATGAGGCAACTGGGGCCCAGGGGGTTGAGAAAGTTGCCCTAGGTCATGCAGCTAGTTGGTAGTAAAAATGAGATTAAGTTAACTCCAGAATTCATGCTGTTTGCCTTGAGGAGTTGATGAAATCCTCCTCAGAAAAAAAGACACATATTCAGAACTTTTTTGTATCCAATTTTATAAGGTTCAAGAATAGCCAAGCTCATCTATGAACCATCTCCTCCCCAGAGGCAGACCATCTGTGCTCAACCTGAACAACACTAATGGGTTTGCTTTCCACTTGGACCAATTAGTTTCTCTGTTCTATAGTCATGGGTGCATCCCAACCATTGGTGATTGGGATGCTGGCGTCACTGTGAGCCAGTAATTTTTGTAAGCACATAATCATGGATGTAATTCTGTTGCCTTCATAAAGCCTTCTCAGACTCCCTGGGACTAGTGTCTGTCAATCATAAGCCTCCATCTTTTTGAAATGGAAGAATCCCAGGCTTCCTTTTAACTGTGAATTCTTGTGTTCTAGGTAGCCACATGGGAGAAGCAGATCTACACATGCTGTCGAGATGGTCTTGTACGACGCTACCAGCTTTCTGACCTCTGACTTCTTGGAAAGAGCAGTCCTGGTTAGTGAAAAGGTTTGACCCTGATCAACAATGAGCAGAAACATCATCAGACCTTCCCAAGGACCATGGCCCTTAGTGTCTTGGGCACCCCTTGGAAATCACAGAAAGTCAGCTGTACTGGCTATATGGAACTCTCATGCCAAGACCTACTTTGAACTGAATAGGAAGGTCACTGGGCCCATTGCATTTGTCCCAACTTCTTGTATAAACGCACCCCAGCAACACAGGGCAAGGATATAGATGCTTTTAGTTTGTTCTTAAACCAGTTGTGTTAAATGTTTACAAGGATCTCAGTGCTAAAACTTGTTTTCTGGAGGAAATAAAGAAAATATGTTTGGAGGTGCCTGAATATGAAAAACTTTGTTAAAAACTCTTACTCCAGCAAAAAGTCGGTCAGGATGATGGAATTCCTTCCTCAGCACTCCCTGTTGCCTGACCATAGAGAAGGCCTGCTTGGCAGTAGCAACAAATGTCCTGTAAGAGATTCTTATGCAGGTGGTAACCAACTGTCCCAGTTTGCTTGGAACTAAGGGGTTTTCTGTGACTTGAAACTTGCAGTGCCAAAACTGGGGCAGTCTCAAACCAACATAATTGGTCAACCTATATGTAGGTGAGGAAATTGAGTCGTAATCATTGTAAAGGCATTGGCTGTCAAAGTGTGGTTCTTAGAACAGCAGCATCAGTATCACCGGGGAACTTGATGGGAAATAGAAATTGTTAGAGCCAATCCTAGACTTAAATCAGAAATTCTACGGGTGCAGCCAGCAATCTGTAGTTTAACAAGGATTCCAGGTGATTCTGATGTATGCTAAAGCTTGAGAGCCACTGATCTAGAGGAAGAAATGGTGGAGGGCACTTTAGTCACAGCTGGAACCCAGGGCTCAAAATGACAAGATTGGTCTATAGGAGATGAGGCCACAGGGGTTGGCAGAGCCCAGCTAGTGAAGGAGTAGGAATATCAGCTAAGGAGCTCAGACTTCAAGTGGTTGGCAGTGGGGAACCACTGAAGGGTTTTAAGCAAGAGAATGGCATGGTCCTTTTTTCTCTAAACATAAAAATGGAATCATAATGTATGTATTCCATGGCTTATTTTCAGTTAATGTCTCTGAGATTTTCCATCTCAGTACATGTAGATGTTCCTCATTCTTTTTTAATAATGTCCAGAATGTGGATACCATATTATTTATATTTTTGAGATTATTAGAGAAAAGTTTCTTGAAAGATGTGACACTTGAGCTGGGACATGCAGATTAAGATTTCAATTTATTTAAGGGAGGAAGGTCATTTCATTCCTGGCTGGGGTAATAATATTGTTGACAGAGTTCTTTTTTTTCTTTTGAGACGGAGTCTCGCTCTGTCACCCAGGCTGGTGCGATCTTGGCTCACTGCAACCTGCACCTCTCAGGTTCAAACGATTCTCCTGCTTCAGCCTTCCGAGTAGCTGGGACTGCAGGCATGCACTGCCATGCCCGGCTAAATTTTTTTTGTGTGTATTTAGTAGAGATAGGGTTTCACCATGTTGGCCAGGCTGGTCTCAAACTCCTGACCTCGTGATCCACCTGCCTTGGCCTCCCAAAGTGCTGAGATTACAGGTGTGAGCCACCGTACCCGGCCACCAGAGTTCTTAAAGGCGTATTCTCATGTAAATTTTTTTTTTTTTTTTTAAAGACAGGGTCTTGCTCTGTTGCCCAGGCTGGAGTGCTTTGGCATGATTACAGCTTACTTCAGCTTTAACCTCCTGGGCTCAAGCAATTCACTTCAGCCTTCCAAGTTGCTGAAACCATGGGTGCACACCACCACACTTGGCTAATTTTTAAAATTTTTCGTAGCGACAGTCTCACCATGTTGTCCAGGCTGGTCTCAAACTCCTGAACTCAAGTGTTCCTCCCACCTTGGCCTCTCATAGTGCTGACATTGCAGGCATGAGCCACCACACTCAACCAGGAACTTTGTCTTAACTTTAAATCCCATTTTTTTCCTACAACGCCCTGTTGCTTAAACCAAAGTGTAAAAAGAAAATACTGTAATTCATTTAATATCTACTCTGTTCTAGATACTATATATATCTAATCAAAAAGCAAATGTTATTATTTGTTTTATTCTGATAAGGAAACTGAGACTCAATACAGTAAATACCAGAGGCTTCCTTGGACAGTCTATACACCTGCTACACTGTGTAATCACAGGCAGGGAGCAAGAGACCTTTGTGACCAGAGCAATTTCATTTCAAGGTGCAATTTGTGACAGGGTCAGGTAGACCAGAATGGACATATTCCAGAATTAGAAATATTAAATCCTAGGAGCTCCAGGTGGAACATCTAAGAAGTCAGATTAAGAAAACAGGATGAGGCTGGGCGCAGTGGCTCACTCCTGTAATCCCAGCACTTTGGGAGGCCAAGACGGGTGGATCACCTGAGGTCGGGAGTTCGAGACCAGCCTGACCAACATGGAGAAACCCTATCTCTACTAAAAATATAAAATTAGCCGGGCATGGTGGCGCATGTCTGTAATCCCAGCTACTTGGGAGGCTGAGTCAGGAGAATCACTTGATCCCAGGAGGCAGAGGTTGCAGTGAGCTCAGATTGTGCCATTGCACTCTCGCCTGGGCAACAAGAGCGAAACTCCATCTCAAAAAAAAAAAAAACAGGATGAAATGGGCTGGGTGTGGTGGCTCACACCTGTAATCCCAGAACTTTGGGAGGCTGAGGCGGGCAGATCACAAGGTCAGGAGATCGAGACCATCCTGGCTAACACAGTGAAACCCCGTCTCTACTAAAAATACAAAAAAAAATTTAGCCAGGCATAGTGGCAGGCGCCTGTAGTCCCAGCTACTTGGGAGGCTGAGGCAGGAGAATGGCATGAACCTGGCAGGTGGAGCTTGCAATGAGCCGAGATTGGGCCACAGCACTCCAGCCTGGGCAACAGAGCAAGACTCTTATCTGAAGAAAAACAAAACAGGATGAAATGCTGTCATTTATTTGTAGAATCTGAAACATTTGAACTCATAGAAGCAGTGAGTAGAAGAGCCAGCGTGGTGGCTCATGCCTGTAATTCCAGCACTTTGGGAGGCTGGGGTGGGTGGATCGCTTGAGCCCAGGAGTTGGAGACCAGTCTGCACACCATGAGGAAACTCTGTCTCTATTAAAAATACAAAAATTAACCAAGCGTAGTGGTGGGCACCTGTAATCCCAGCTACTCAGGAGGCTGAGGCAGGAGAATCACTTGAACCCGGGAGGTGGAGGTTGCAGTGAGCCGAGATCGCACCACTTCACTCCAGCTTGGGCAACAGAGCGAGACTGTCTCAAAAAAAAAAAAAAAATATATATACACACACACACACACACACACACACACACACGTGTATATTTTGATACTTTTATTTTTATGTATATATACATATCTTTTATATATACATATTATATTTACATATGTATTGTATGTATGTATATATACTTCAATATATAATATATATAATATATGTGTGTTTATATATATAGAAGCAGTGAGTAGAATGGTGGTTACAGAGACGTGGGGAGGAGGAATGGGGAAAATGATAGTCATAGGGCTTAAAGTCTCAGGAGGAATGTATTGTTTTTTGAGATCTATTGCATAGCATGGTAGATTGCTAAGAGTAAATTTCAAATGTTCTCAACCCAAAAAATGTTAAGCATATGAGGTGATGGATATGTTAACTGGCTTGATTTAATTATCCCACATTGTATTTATAAGTCACAATAGGACTTTGTGCCCCATAATTATAAACAGGTATAAATTGTCAATTTACAATTAAAAAAAAGAAAGCAGGATAAGGAAGGATATGGCTGAGTACACACAACACGTGAATGTCTGTGAGTTCCCATTCTAGGGCTCACTATTCTACGTTGCCACCACATTCGTCCACTCCTTTTCATAGGTCTCTAGAGTCGATGTCCCAGTGTGATATATACAGTGACCCTTGACAGCTGCTCTGAAATCCGGACCCAAACAGAAGGAAAGGAGGCCAGCTCTCAGGTGCTCCATAGCCTTGTCCACTGTGAAAGGAAGGAGCCCCTGTTTTTAGCAGACAAAGCTTTTTCTTTTTTTTCTTTAGGATTAAGGAGTGCATTCTGGGTAAGGAAGGGTAGGACACTGACAGCTCTACAGACTCAGTGAACTGTGCTATATGGTGTTTCTTGGCTTTGGGATGCCACCTTGTGACTTCTTATGAGAAATACCTTTCTCTCCAGACCTGAAAAGCTGGCAGCAGCATCAGCTATTCAGCATGTACTTGGTACCGGGCACAGGCCTCACAATAGGTAGATTTCTTTTCTAAACAATACTCTTTGTGCATATACTTTTATGTTCTTTTTCTGTTTTAACTTTTATTTTGCCAATAACCTTAAACTTGCAGAAAAATTGCAAGAATAGTACAAAGGATAGGAAACAGACATGAGAAATATTTAAAAATAATAAAAAGAATAAAAAAGAATAGCATCAAGGATTTCAGTACACCCTCACCCAAATCTCCCAGTTGCTGACTTTTTTTTTTTTTTTGAGACAGAGTCTCACTCCATCACCCAGGCTGGAGTCAAGTGGCGCGATCTTGGCTCACTGCAACCTCTGCTTCCCGGGTTCAAGTGATTCTCCTGCCTCAGTCTCCTGAGTAGCTGGGATTACAAGGGTGCACCACCACACCTGACTTGTATTTTTAATAGAGACAGGGTTTCACCATGTTGGCCAGGTTGGTCTCAAACTCCTGATCTCAAATGATCCACCCGCCTCAGACTCCCAAAGTGCTGGGATTACAGTTGTGAGCCACCGTGCCTGGCCCAGTTGTCAACTTTGTATTATGTTTGCTTTATCACTCTCTTTCTGTATATATGTGCACAGATTATATATGCTATATTTTTTCTGACTCATTTGAGAGTAATATGTAAATGTTATATTCTGTTACTCTATTACCATTTGTGATGGTAAATTTTATGTGTCAGCTTGACTGGCCATGGTGCCCAGATAGTTGGCCAATTTTCCGGATGTTTCTTTCAAGGTTTTTTTTTTTTTTTTAAATGAGATGAACATTTAAAATCTGTGAATTTGGGGGCTGGGTGAGGTGGCTCAGGCCTGTAATCCCAGCACTTTGGGAGGCCAAGGCGAGCGGATTACTTGAGGTCAGGAGATAGAGACCACTGGCCAACATTGTGAAACCCTATGTCTACTAAAAGTACAAAAATTAGCCAGGTGTAGTGGCAGGAGCGTGTAATTCCAGCTACTCGGGAGGCTGAGGCATGAGAATCACTTGAACCCAGGAGGCAGAGGTTGCAGTAAGCCAAGATTGCACCACTGCACTCCAGTCTGGGCAACAGAGGTAGG